CAGGATTCTTTTGTTTCATGCAGAGCAATAGTTCAAGAACCTCCATCTCTGGGACTACTGAGGAAGAGAATCCGTGGTGCTACAGCATAAGCATTTTGAAGTGATAGTGCCGATTAAAAAGAACACTGGAGACTTAAGAAGTGATGCAGAGGTTTTCTAAACCTTCGTTGAGTTTCTGATCTATGAAGGTTAGTGCTGCTTGTTAAATTAGAAGGAGAGGAGGCCTTAATCAAGATCATTACTTCTATGCAAACAATTGTATTCCATCGCTCTGTTACCTCAGACTAATATCCCCGATGCTTTTCCTCATGTTTTGGGGCAGTGACAAGGGAATCCGTCTTCTTCATTAGAAGAGGAACTATACTGCCAAAGTCTTAGGACATGGAATCATCGAATCACTTCAGTGCTGGCCCTTTATGTCCATGCTGACTCTCTGCAAGACAAACTCAGTTAGTTCCACTCCCCTGAGATCATTCTATTTTCTGCTAAAAGATTTTTAGTAGAGTGGTGGAGGAAAATTTAGCATGAGCAGAATCTTCTCAGGCAAGGGGCAGTGAAGACATAGAGGAGTATTAAATCCCTTGGAAGAGATATCATTTTAGGAACCTGAATCATCCCACCCTCTGGCTTTCCCCACAGTGGGTTATGATGTTGACAGGAAACCCTCTAAATCTGTCAGGAAACCAATGAAGATGCTTAGAAAAAGGCAATTAAGCCCCTTCTAAACTTGTAGGTGGGTTGTCCCTGCTGGTGAACATTGCACGCTGTGTTTGCACCTTGGAAGGATGGAGGAGAGAAATGGACAGCAAAAAGTAATTTTTGACTTGTTGGCAACAGCTTCAGGTTAAAATTGATAGTTACGTGTTAGTCAGGAGTGTGATAGAATACTCCTCAATCACCTGGATACAGTTTGAACAACACACAAGAAGCTTGCCATCATCCAGGACAAGTAGTCTTCTTGATAGGCACCCATCCACCACCTTCAGTATTCACTCCCTCCACTGTCGACACTCAGTAGCAGCAGTGTGCATCATCTACAATGTGCAAAAATTCACCAAGACTCCTTAAACAGCACCTTCCAAATCCACAACATTATTATTCAGAAGGAAAAGGGCAGCAGATACATAAGAACATCACCACCTATAAAGTTCCCCCCAAACCATGTATTATCTCAACTTGGGAATTTAGTATCATTCCTTGTGTCATGGGTTCAAATCCCTGTCAATGAGTCCTTATACTGAATGGACTGCAGCAGTTCATGAATTTATGTATGTATGTACGTTCTATGCATTGTCAAATATAGGTTATCTCAATCATTCTCCATCAAAGCAATAAATGGAAGAGAAATTTCCAAGGCGATGTCATGCCTTGCTATTTTGTTATGGACAACAGAAGATAACAGTTAACCAAATCTGTTTGTCCGTTGTTCTAGCCTCAGGGCAATACATGGGAGTGGAATAACAGATCAGAGAAACAAATTGGAAAACCAAGAACACAAGTAACAAAATGTACAGCCAAACTGATGAGTTGTTTTTTTTATTCTAATACTTTTGGAAATATATATTTTATTTACACATCCACCTACTGTATGAACACAGTAATTTTATTACTTTAGACCATGACATTTGCATTTACCAATTAATTTAAATAAGATTTTTTATTTGTACACAGCTACATTCTCATTGTGCTATTCTGAAATTCCTTTTACTTTTAGAAAACAATATCTGATGGGAAACATTAGTCAACAGCAAATCAACTCACAAATAAACAAATACATGAAAGTGAGCAGAGACAGTAGGAACTGCAGCTGCTGGAGAATCTGAGACAATCATAGGGGCAGAATCCTATGATGCTGCTTGGCCTGCTGTGTTCATCCAGCCCTGCACCTTGTTGTCTCATGAAAGTGAGCAGCTACATTGCGAATTCAATGAAAAGTCTACATAGGGTCTAAACAATTTAAAACCGAGAATTAATTTCACGTACTGATGGAAAACACTAACAGAGATTACATCTTACAGGACATGATATTGGTCGTATTGATAAACAATCTGATACATTCAGAACACCACCCTAAAGTATGATGGCTTATTTTATATGAAGTACAATGCAAAGTCAATCTGTATTCAAAAATGATTCATTCAAATAAGCTGTGCCATTGAATTCCATTTCAAAGACCAAAGATCATTGTTTTGATTCTATTGAAAGGCCTTGCATGATTTTGATGACAATAGATTTACTTGATTTCTGCTGTTTTTTTTCCAAATTGGCCACCTGACAATGAGATTGAATCACGGTGCACTTTTTAATGCTCAAACTTATAAAGCAATTATACCTGATAGCAATCAAAATAATTTTCAACTTCAACTATACTCTTCCTATGTCCTCTGATTCCATAAAGTGCATCTCCAAAAAGTCATAAGTCAAATAATATAGAAACAATTCCCACTTGAAGGATGCCGATGATTTCCATTATGATGTAACAGGACCAACCAAGAAGCAACATTTGCTGTGTTTTGATCACACACTATTTAATCAGCTTCAATGTGTTCAACTGTTCCGATTCAAAACCTTGATATGAAGAATTCATGTGAGATAAGACAGAAATCTTTTCAGAAACTTGTCTTTTCACGTGATAAGATGTTATCAGAACAAGGCATAAGGCACATCATTTACCAGTTCCTTTATTAAGCTCTTTCATTCTAACTCAGAGTGCCGTATGATTGGCTGTGATTCTATCAATGTCTTCCTCTGTTACACAGACCTGTTTTTCCAAAGGTGAGACTATCATTGCTTTGGATTTCTATGAAATAGATGCCACAATATGCTAGTAAGAGAAAAGCCTTCTCAAATTGGTCTGGGGTTGTTATGTATATGATGGATAAAACAGGGTTTAAATTAATTCACTTATAACATGGTAGAGCTGGTGTTTAACTCATACCAAATAATTTTCTTGCAATGGAATAGAAGACATGTTTATGCAAGGAATTTTGATAATGTTTCTATTAAATAGTCATTTTTCACACATGGAATAGTGAGCTTGAACAAAGTCAGCCGTCCTCCGCATTGCCCATGCAATTGTCATTACCGTGGACTTTAAACACATTGAGAGACGGTATTACCAGATTTTCCTCAATCTTGTTTTAAATACAGATATAAAAAGGCAAGCAGAATATTAAGAACTGCTTTTTTCTAGAGAGTTTTAGGTACCATAAAGACCACAATACTGCTAATACCTAAGCTGGAACTTGGAAAGTTGGTGCATTCGACACTTATTAACTGCTGGAAATAAAATGAGTGGTTAATTTATGAGGTTACCTCCATTAAAATGAATCCAAGGTAGTGGAAAGGTAGTTTCTGATGAAGTGTCTAGGCCTGAAACGTCAGCCTTCCTGCTCCTATGATGCTGCTTGGCCTGCTGTGTTCATCCAGCTCTACACCTTGTTATCTTAGTGGAAATCCATTACAGTTTACATTGCTAAGGAGATGGCATACACATAAAAGGTGCAGGCTAATATTTACTGCAATAAATTCATTTTCAGTTCATTTCTAACTTCTCATTTTAACTTCCCAACTCATAATCCTCAAATAAAAAAGCACAAGTTACAACAGGGTGTCCATTCGAACCTACTAGTAATAAAGTGCATCGGAGAGGTTTGTGAATACATTTGCAATAATCATATTCTGAACGTGCAGAGACAAACCGATTTATTGATTTTAAAAAACAAATTGACTTACCAGAATGTTTGTTTTAAGAGAATGGTTAAAGATTTTGAATTAAAATAAGTAATTGCTCACTAGAACACTCTCTGAAGTATCTTAAACTCTTAAAGTGCATTCCTAAAGATTCCTTTTGTAACAGTGAAATACATTACCCTTGCCCAGAAGAGGATGTTGTTAAATGCCTGAAAAGGTGCAGGATCCTTGCTTGAAGGCAGTGATTCACATTGAGGTACTAAGCGTCAAGAAAAATATGTACTTCACAAAGATGGTCATTTGTTTTAATAGGAGGTCTAGACAGTGAGTAATGGAACATTATTACACTGTGGAAGGAATTGCACCCAAACCTATTTGTGCACTCACCTGTCCCTACCATCCATCATGAGTCACTGGTTAAAGAAGCAGATAAGGGTCATAGAGTCAAACAGCACAGAAACAGACCCTGTCAGCCCTTTCTGTCCATGCTAACCAGGTTCCCTAAACTGAACTTACTCCCGTTTGCCTGCAATGATGCAAAAAATATGGCCGACTGACCTCTCAGTTGAAAAGAGATGCACTGAAGCCAAGTGTCAGTCTTTGTGGTGCTTCAGTTGAGGTCAGCCAACAAAGGATAAACTGAGGATTGAAACTAAAATCTAATCTGTTCTGGGTGGTTTACTTCTGGTTCCACTGAATTAACACTGGAGATGTGTATGCCTAAACAATTTCAAAATGATTGCAGATATCACTGAATTCTGAGTAGCAATCAGGTCAGTTTTAAAGACAAACATGTAATGAAATAGAAAAAATAAAACCGAACATAATTCTTGCAAGCTGATGCAGGAGTAAAAAATACTTAGTAGGCTGGATTATCTATAGGAATCAGTATGTCAGAGAATGATTTTAAAGGTGGGGTAAGACTTAGAATATGACTAAAGTAAACAGCCCATTTTACAGTCAATAATTAAAGCAAACTAAAATGTATTTACTAAGCAAAACAAGAACTTTCAATTAGTTTTAAAAGTGGCAGTATGTTAATTAGCAGTCCAGACATGCAAAGAAATCACTGGAACAGCAGGAAAATATAATCTAGCTTTGTTTATGTTTTGAAGAAATTGAGGGAAAGATGAAAGTTCAAGATGCATGAGTGCTTTGGCATTAGTCACTGTCCGCTGAAACAACTGGTGTGCCGTAATAAAACTATTTAACTTGACTCTGACATTATAGTCATTTGCTAATACTATGACAATTATTACAATAATTAGTGCAAAATAGATTTTATTGAAATGAAACTTCTCCATTTGATAGGTAATGCAATTTTTAAAAATCAAACTGCTCCAGTTAAAGACTGTAATTCTCTAGTGAAAAGTAGCATTGATAGCTACTTATCTCTAGAATCCTATAGAATAATTCTACCATATTTGGAGCTTCTACTAAAAGTGTACAGGTAGGCAGCACTCCAGTACATCCACTTAAGAAGCAATGGCTGAGATAGATCTTTATTGTGAGGTTGACATAAAGAACTGAAACTAAAAGAAAAAGTTATTTACTGCGAAGGAGAAAATCATTGTAAATACGAACTATTGATTACATTGGAAGTTGAATCCATAATTACTATTTGAATGAACAATATTGATCAGCGATATCCAATAGTCACTGGGAGTCACCTTCATAAATATGAATCATTGATGGTACTAGATTGATCCGCATGATTAACTAGTATCAACAGTAACCCTTATATAGCATATATTTGACACATAGAAATTGTTCATTTGTATGTTGGCTTACACCATCTGTATGCAGATAAATGTTCAGACTAAATACAGAGAACATTACATACAACTTGCTCTTTACAAACTTGCATTAAGCTGCATGAGCAATCAACACAGCTGATGTTTATGAATGTCTTAGTGCAAATTTTAGATCAATAATGATGATTTTTGCCTTCTAAATAACTGCTACAGATTAAAATGTTAATTAAAATACCACATCAACAGTTTTAGTCTAAATGTAAGGCCTGCTGGCTATATTTTACAGAGTAATACAGTGAAACAAACCACTGGTATCAGCAAAAGTACATTCACAATTTTATAAAATCCATTTGCTGGTAAAGCATATTATCAGGTCCCCACATTCTGTAAAATGATGTATGGTGAAGGTCTTAAGCAGCAGTTTTAATTTTGTCCATTTAAGTACGTCAGTGTCTTGATCAGAAATATTTTCGGCCTGTTAAAATGATTGAATCCTTCAGTGTAAGTTTGCTGTCCACGTGGAATATTCCATCTTGGCACTTGAGCAATGATGTTGCTATGGCAAGGATTTGTTTATCTGGGAACTTTGAAATCATTTCCTTTTAGGTGAGATCTTTGAAGTCAAGTCCTGGGAGTGAAAGACTTTCTCCATTGAGGATGACTTGAAGTCTTTCTGACTGGCAGCCTCTTTACTCTGGCAGCCAGGTATCTCACCTAGGGGTCACCCTGTTCCTGATTTAGTGTCTTTGCTAAAATCTGACAATATGTAAACATGACAAGGAGAGAAAAAACAGAGCAAACAGTGGAGAATTGAAGACTTATAGAGACTTTGCCAGCTACTCCTGAAATAAAACATTCTTTGCTAGGGTGTCAGGTGGCAGCTGAGGATTCAGTTTGAACGGTCACCATAATGGTGCGCAACATTTGAATCATTAATGAGCTCAGCAGCAAAGTATCAAAATCAGCTTCACTCATAATTTTGCACTTGTTTATCCACACCAATTGTATCAGGTCAAGAAGTAAATTACATAATACTTTTCTGTTCACGTATAGCCCTTAACTGTTCTCTGCTTAAATTATTTGCATTGTGATTTTTGTTACACCAAATGTACTGGCTCCAAATCTTCAGAAAAGTCACCCGGAACTTATTTATCCTGAAGGCATATACTATGGGGTTTACAGCAGAGTTTGCATGGGTTAGAAAGATGGCAATGTACATCACAATAATTGGTTTGTCGCACGAAGGACAGAATAGTGTGATGCAGTTGATGATATGAAGAGGAAGCCAACATATTGCAAACAAAAGCAACACTAGAGCCAGCGACTTGGCAAGTTTCAATTCCTTTCCAAAGTACCTGCTTGGATCGGCATTGTTGATTGACACTGCCTTTTGATTTAGATGCTTTCGAATAAGATTAAATATTTCCACGTAGATGACAAAGATCAACACGAGAGGTGGCAGCACCCACCCGAAAAAGTTGAAGTAGACCATGTAGTCCATGCTGATTACTGTCTCAAACTGGCACACAATCATGTTGTTCACAAGACTCGAGTTTGCCCCATCTTGAGTAGCTTCAGTGTAATTGTTCCATCCGAACATCGGGATCATGCCAACAATTATAGATATAACCCAGCACAGGACAACGGCAGTCCCAGCTCTCTTCTGTGTAACTGTTCTCTTATAGCTGTAAGATGGAAGCAAAAACACCAGGTTAGATGACCAAATCCACACTTAAGCTCAATGTGACAATTTGCCTTCTGAGATGATGCCAGTTTATTTCTAAAAGAGCACACAATGCTTGGACAGCAATGTACAAAACCTTGACGGGAACGATGGGACATCAGTTCGTTCTCTAAATATAAGGAACTGTTTTTTTCATCAGATAGTTCCAATCAAAAGCAAATGCTTCTCAACAGGTAGGAGAAAAGAAGGTTGATTTACCCCATTTAACCTGGCAAAGGGACAAGTAATGATGAAACTCCTGGGAATAATTGCTGTGTAAATCCTAACTTTAATTCCCAACTGGTTTAACATTTATTTACCTATCGTAAATGGGAGCTAGATTTTAGCCACTGAGTTGGCATTTGAAAATCTCAAGCAATTGATAGAAAGTAATTTGTTTCTAATGGCGCCTTGCCGATGTACTGGAATCCTCTTCTGTACAGCTCTATTGATATACCTACACCACAATGCCAATCAGTAGATCATGAAGCCACCACTAACTTCATAGGTGATTAGGGTTGGGAAATAAATTGCAAATCAGTGCCCACATCCCTGAAAATAAAGTAACAAAAAAAAGTCATAGAATGGGCCACCATTTCCACATTGCAAAGGAAGGGCTTCAAACTCAGTGATGCTCTGTATGTAGTTAGAAGCGGAAGTCCTCCTGTCTCTTGGTGGGAAGAATAGGCTCTGAGGCAGGCCTGCCAATTCATCAAACATTTCAGTGTGTACACCCTTCAACATTCTCCTGTACACCACTCCACTGAAATCCTCAGAGCATCTCTAGGAAGGTGTGTGGCCCAGGGCAAAATCAAACTGTGTCATGCTCCCAGGGGCAAATGAAATTCTTCCCAAACACACTTCAGGGTCAGACTCTAAGTTAACTTTCATCAGCTCCTATGCATTTTCAGGACCTGCCTTCAGTCTTCCTGGTCCCTGTTTTATCTCCTTTCCACCTCTATAATTATTGCCTCTAGTACCACAGCCAGAAACCTGGGAGCCTGTCCCTCCCCCTCACATGTTGTTCTAGTTGTTGCACTTCTCTTTGTAAACCAAGCTCTCAAGAAGCAATATCCATGAGTGCAGATTACCCTTAGCACCCGCCTCTTGTCCATGATAACTATGCATCATGGCTGCCAAAGACGCAACTAATTCCCTGTTGAGTGCGCAGCAAACCCACAATGTGTTTTTGCAGTACTGTGTGTTGAAATCATTTTAAAAAGCAGGTCAGCACAAAGATGTGTTGCATGCCTTTATGGGAACATCATGCATTGCAATCGCTGCACCCAACACAGGACTAATCCTATTTCCACCACTGATTATTTAGCTTAGGCAAAACCATTCCATAATAACAACATCAATTTGATTAGTAACAAGAATTCCAAGAGTTAAATCCTGATCATCAATTTTGTGCAGCAAAATCTGTGCTTCAGCAAACACTGTTCACTGACTCAGACAGAACTGACATTTGCAATTGGCCATAATTCAGACAGACATTGTCAAACATAGAACACTTCAAAATACTTTATGGAATCTGTTTGCCTTTGCTAGCTCTACCTAATTTACTTCTACACTTTAACATCCAGCCATTCATCTGTCAGAGCAGAAACCCAAAAGTCTGAAACGATCTGCTGGTGCTAATGTCCAAGTAAAGCCTGTTATGGCCTATAGGAAAATAAGCACTGGCTTAGGCAAGGAATATCATGTTCACTGTCACAGACATAAATGAGTGCTGTTCTGTCGATTATTTCAGAAACAACACTTCAATGTTCAATGATAAGCATAAGTGAGCAAATCTGGAGCAGAAGCAGGAACATCTAATAATGAAAAGCCAATCCCGTGAAGTTACTACATAGTACTAAGTGTAAACAGCATGTTTTTGACAGTTTTCAGTTCTGCTCACTTCCATCAGTGCCCTTTCAAACATGTAGTCAGTCTTTGGAGCCCATGTCCTTCAGCAACTGTCTCCCAGTTGCCAGTGTCAGTATCCACCATCATTTCTCACTTGAAGGAGAAATCTAATGAAGAAATGGGTGCTCAGAAGGTCATGACCCAGTGGCCAGCTCACTCTACAGATGGTTGTTGGATTGTTATGATCTGCAATGTTCCCCAACCTGGCTCCAAACAGATTACCTCAGACTGTTCAAGTTCCTGCGTAAGGAAGGATAATCTGTCTCTCCTTTTTTATTCATCCAACCTCTCGGTTGATTGCGGCAGTGAGAGAGAAGAGCACACAGACACAGAGTTTATAGGCGGAGAGATTAAGGGCAGAGACATCAAAAGATCATACAACTGGTGTGAGTGATGTGTCAAATAATAAATCTCTGCAGGTGGCCAAGAGTGTTAGATGGTGTACTAAAGTGTCAACAGCTGAATAATGAGGCAGAGAGATAATTACAAAAACAAAAGTTCTTCTCGCATTGGAAACTTCTACTGCCTTCCAAAGATACACAAAGCCAATGCACCTGGAGGTGCAATTGTATCAAGCAATGGGACCCTGTGTGAGAACCTCTCTGGCTATGTTGAGGGCATCTTGAAACCCAAGGAGCCCCCAGCTTCTGTCACGACACTACAGATATCTTACAGAAACTCAGCACCCACAGACCAATCGAACCAGGAACATTTCTAGTCACAATGGATGTTTCAGCACTTTACATCAGCATCTCCCACAATGACTGCATTGCTGCAACAGCCTCAGTACTCTATACCAACAACTGCCAATTTCCAGAAGCCATCCTACAACTCATCCGCTTCATCCTCAGCCACTAGATTTTCATCCAGACACACAGAACAGCCATGGGGACCAAATTTGCTCCCCAATATGCCAACATTTTCTCGCACAAGTTCGAGCAAGACTTCTTTACTGTGTAGAATCTCTGACCAAAGCCATACACCAGATACCTTGACGACATTTTCTTTCTTTGGACTCATGGTGAGGAATCACTGAAACGACTACATAGCGATATCAGCAAGTTTCATCCCACCATCAGACTTACCATGGACTACTCTTTAGAATCAGTCCCATTCTTGGACACATGTATCTCCACCAAGGACGGACACCCGAGTACCTCACTGTGGGCATTTTGGCTAAGTTTGCAGATGATACAAAGATAGGTGGAGGGACAGGTAGAATTGAGGATGTGGGGAGGCTGCAGAAGGATTTGGAAAGGTTAGGAGAATGTGCAAAAGTAGTGGAAGATGGAGTACAACATGGGAAAGCGTGAGGTCATGCACTTTGGTGAGAAGAATAGAGGTATGGACTATTTTCTAAATGGGGAGAAAATTTAGAAGTCTGCAGTGCAAAGAGACTTGGAAGTTCTAGTCCAGGATTCTCTCAAGGTAAACTTGCAGATTGAGTCAGTAGTTAGGAAGGCAAATGCAACTTTGGCATTTGAGAGGACTTGAATATAAAAGCAGGGATGTACTTTTGAGGCTGTATAAGGCTCTGGTCAGGCCACATTTGGAGTATTGTACACAGTTTTGGGCCACATATCTCAGGAAAGATGTATTGGTCCTGGAGCGAGTTCAGAGCAGGTTCACGAGAATGGTCCCAGGAATGAAAAGCTTAACATATGAGGAATGTTTGAAGTCTCTGGGTCTATACTCAATGGAGTTTAGAAGGATGAGGGGAGATCTAATTGAAACTTACAGAATACTGAATGGCCTGGACAGAGTGGATGTTGGGAAGATATTTCCATTGGTCGGAGAGACTAGGACCCGAGGGCACAGCCTCAGAGTAAAGGGAAGACCATTTAGAATGGAGATAAAGGAGAAACTTCTTCAGCCAGAGAGTGGTGAATCTATGGAATTCACAGCCACAGAAGGCTGTGGAGGCCAGGTCATTGGGTATATTTAAGACAGTGATAGATAGGTTCTTGATTGTCAAGGGGATCAAGGATTATGGGGAGAAAGCGGGAGAATGAGGTTGAGAAACTTATCAGCCATGAATGGCGGAGCAGACTCAATGGACTGAATGGCCTACTTTCTGTTCCTATGTCTTATGGTCACTCTACTGCAAGCCCACGGATAACCTCACGATGCTGCACTTCTCTAGCTTCCACCCTAAACATGTTAAAGAAGCCATCCCCTATGGACAAGCCCTACGCATACACAGGATCTGCTCAGATGAGGAGGAACACGACAGACACCTAAAGATTTTGAAGAATGCCCTCATAAGAGCAGGATAAGAACTCAACTGATTGATCGTCAGTTCCGAGGTGCCACAGTGACAAACTGCAACAACCTTCTCCAAATACAGACACAGGATATGACCGATAGAGTACCCTTCATCATCTAGTACTTCCCTGGAGCAGAGAGACTACGCCATGTTCATTGCAGCCTTCAACAGGTCATCGATGAGGATGAGCATCTCACCGAGATCTTCCCTGCGCCTCCACTTCTCAGCTTTAAGCCTTAAAACAGACCATCATTCATAGCAAACCACCCAGCCTACAGAACAACATTGACCACAACACCACACAGCCCTGACATGGCAACTCTGTAAGATATGTCAGATCAAGAAAATGGATACTGCTATAACATGTGGGAACACCCCTCCCATATACATGGCAGATACTCATGTGACTTGACCAATGTTGTCTATTTCATACGCTGCAGGCGGGGATGCCCCGAGGCATGGTATATTGGCGAGACCATACAGACGCTACAACAAAGGATGAATGGACACTGTGCAACAATCGCCAGACAGGAATCTTCCCTCCCAGTCGGGGAACACTTCAGCGGTCAAGGACATTCAGCCTCCGATCTTCGGGTAAACGTCCTCCAGGGCGGACTTTGAGATGCAGAATCACCGAGCAGAAACTGACAGCCAAGTTCCGTACCCATGAAAACAGCCTCAACTGTGTTCTTGGGCTCATGTCACGCTACGTGACCCCACCACACTGTTCTGTATCTGTAAAACCTTCCTCACTGTCCTTTGTTGACACCATTACCTTGATAAAT